CTGCTGCTTGGGCCTTAGGGACAAGGAATAAATTGAACTTCTCTGCCTTATTCCTCTTGTGGGATGGGACCATTCTTCTGAGTACAGGCATTAGCGAACTCAAAATTGCAGTAGTAAAAAAATGTGCAATGTAATTTTTATTTTACATTTTTAACAGAAATTACTAGTTAAGTTTTTTAAAAGTAAAAATAGGGGAAAGAAAAATTTCATAAAATAATTCATCATCTAGGGAAAACTGAAGTTAATATGCTAATGTTTTTATTTTTCTTTAGTGAAGATCAAGCTATATTTTTTTCTCAGTTTTCTCAGTTACCATATTAAAAACAATTTGCCACGTCCTTAAGAATTCCTTGTAGATGTAATGTCTGTATAATAATCCATTAAATGGATGCTGCAGTTAGCTTTGATTATGACTGTTTGGTATTCTGGCAATGTATTTAAAACAGAGTAACAAACTGACACCAGTAATCTTCATTTAAAATACGCTGAGATGCTCATATTTCCCCCCATCTTTTTCTCAATCTAGGTTTTTGAGTTGATCTTTGTCACTGAAAACTTTTCTGAGCAGATAATTCCAGGAATGGAAGTTTCACACAAAATAAACAGCCCAGGAAGTGTTTACCAAGCATGAGCTTAATTGGGTGGTGTAGCTCTAAAATATTAAAGTGAGATCTCCTGTAGATAAACTAATGTGTGGGTACACAGCCTATTAAATGAAGAATTGAGTTTGGGATAGGTATAAAAATGCATGAAAATTTTCTATTTCAGATTTGGACCAAAATAATTCAGGGAAACTATTCACATGTTAGAAATAATAGGAAAATAATTCATGTTAGAGCATTAAAAAAGGCATAAAAACCAAGAACCCTGACACACCCCCATCCCTAACTGCTTGTGCAAATGAGGTAACAAGGGCTTCCAAGTGGCAAGAGATAGATTTATACAAAAACACAGCAAATGTGTTTCCTGACAGCCACCCCTGAGATGACTACCTCACGGAAAAGGATTCCAGATAAGAGAAGAGACACTGCTTTCATGGATGAGGAAGTTTAGAGTATCAGGAGACACAGGGGTGCCTGCTCCAGGTTCTCAACTGGCCCTAAGAAAGTGACGTGCGAAGAAGTTCATGCACTCGCTTGAGGATCCACTCCTCCAACAACCCTTCCCTCGCAGCAGAGCAAAAGCCAGCACCCAAGTTTCCTCTTTTCTGGCCCAGAGCTCTTTCTAGTACATCACACACCATTGCTTCCCTTGAAGTAGAACAGACATAATTTCCCTTTTCTTTTGTTGCTAGGCCACAGGTCTGAGAATAATTTTATTTTCAGAAGGATGAGGGGGAAATGTTAGATGGGAAATAATTTAATGGATGAAAGCAAAAAAGGATGTGATTGTACAACAAAAGTAGAATCAAAACTTTAAAATATAACACATGCATCAAACTACATATATCAATTGCTATGAAATAGCTTTATGAAACATAAATATGTTACTGTCTTGATGAAAGAATTTAGAAGTCTAATGCACTTCCATACTCATTCAATGACACTTTTTCTGTTTTAAGAGAAAGATTTTCTATAGTTTTTAGAGAAGATAATATAATTTTTAGTTTTATTTATGTAGTAAAGTAGTAAAAAATTCTATGATACATTTATTTATAACTCGTTTATATGTAAAACAGGTAAAACAGGAGCTGTGCTGAGCAAAAAGACAGCACCTGAATAACAGTTAATAACATGGCATCTAAGTAGAATGGAAAATTTTTAAAAAGAGGAAAGTAAAAATAAACTGAAGTACGTCCATACAAGTTTGCAGAGATCTAACTCAACCTTTTCTAGTAGTTGCTGTTACTTTACCTGCTGCCTAGTGAACAACTAGGGAAGGGGACAAATGATCACGCTTTAATTTCTACAGTAAAATTTAACATTCAAAACTAGAAAGAATACTTCAAGATCAATAGTTTGAAAAGCATTAAACAGCACATCTGCAAATTAAATGTATTTGTACAAGGTGGGATTAAACCACTGTTATTACTGAGGATTTATTTCAGCGTTCATAGTTTTGGGAGCATTTTCGGTGTGAAGCTCATGAATGCTTTTCCATCTGGCCTTCATAAGCCACAGGAGTGTTCACTGGTCTTGGTGATGAATTACTAAGTACTTTTCCAGAAAAAAAGTAGGGTTGAGCACGTGTAAAGAAAACCAGGAGGAGAATGCTTGCTCTCCTAGGCATTTGACAGTGTCCGAAGGTTAATAACATGTCCATTCGGATGAGCTATTTTTTTCAAGGCAAAACTCCCTGCCCACAGCCAATGGACTGTTATTCTTGGCAAGTGTGAAATGTTTACAAAACTTGACACCTTTTCCCCCAAAGCTTATGGGAAATTGATGGTGGAGGATGCTACTGCAGGTGCCCTAAGAATCATCTGATTTGCGGCCTGTATATAAAATTCGTGAAAGGGGCCTCATCTGAGCTGAGCTGAGCTGTCTTCAACTCCTTTTTTCACTGTCCTTAAGGAAATGCTCAGCTGGAAAGGATGAGGCTGATTCATGAGGATGCTGTGAAGTGGAATAAGGACAGGAATTAGCTCAAAAGACTTCCAGGCTCTTGTATTTTGAAACACCAGAGCAGGTGAAAAGTCCAAGGTCCTGCAGAACTCTGGAGCCCTGGAGCTGTAGAGGGAGGCGAGGGACTGGGTGGGGAGGGGAGAATAGCTGGGCTCTCTTTTTGGTGCCGTGGGTGCCGCACAAGCTCACGTGTTACCTTCTGGGTTTTCCTTCTTAGACAGGTGAGACAAAGCACAAGTGTGCTCTGTGGTTTCCAATTATCCATTCTGCTGGAATCTGTTATAAATAGCCAGTTATTTAGAGCACACAGATCAAGTGGTGCCTTTGTGGTTTCTCAGGTTGCTCTGAGGGAAAGGCAGGGACAGGCGCTCTGTGCCCCAGCTGACCAGGGTTCGTGGTGCAGGGTGCCGGAAGGCGCTGCCCTCTCCTTACCAAGTGATGAGTCAAGTGCCCCACCGCTAGGGAAGAAACCCACTCCCCGTGGGTGAATGAAAGGTCAAGAATGTAAGTGATTCACAAATGAGAGTAGGCAGACACAGGAAAATGTCCAACTCCACCAGTAATAATGGAATAGCAAGATAAAGCCAGGTGCTCTTTTCCACCCACAAGTTTAGGGCTGTGTGCTGACAACAAAGCGGGGAGACTCCTTCACCTCGTTAGTGTCACTGTGAGTTGATGTAAGGCTATGAGGAGTGATTTCACAAGGCCTCTCAGGAGCATCAAGCTATTCAAAGTCTTTGACCTAGTAGTTCTTCACCTGGGAATCTGTTCTAAGGAAAGTGTTCCAAGAAACAGAGAGCAGTCTAAAGCCTATCACTGCAAAATTAAGTTTCATAGTGGAAAACTAGAACAATTTAAAAGTTCAGCAATAATGAATGAATATAATATAATCAATAAAAATTATGAGGCAAAGTTATGTTGTGATATTAAAAATATTATGTCACGATATTTAAAGACAATTCTGTTTACACAATGATTATGATGCAAACACGTATACATAATAATGGTAGCTAAATATTCTACTGAGAGTTTGGCATGGAATAGTTAACTTCTATCCCTCCAATAGTCCTAGGAGACAGGTGTTGTTCACTCATTTTACTGGTGAGAAAGTTGAGGGTGAGGGGGTTAAGTTCATTACACAGTGTCACACAAGGACTCCAGAGCCCGGTATTGGACCTCCATGACCATAAGCATTTTTCAAAAATGGTGAAATTGGTATCAAATTTCTGTTACACAGGAAGAATATATTTTAGTGATCTGCAAGCATTTTGCACAGGGTGGTGACCATAGTTAATAATATGTATCATGTATTTGAAAAGTGACAAAAAATAGATTTTAAATGTTCTTACCACAAAAAACATAAATAGGTAAAGTGGCAGATAATGTTAATTGCTTTGATTTGACCTTTCTACAATGTATAAGTAAATCAAAATGTCATTTGTACTTTATAGGTATATTTAATTTTTGTCAATTAAATTTTTTTACAAAGATTAATTAAAAATAAAATTAAAGAGGAAAAAAACCACCCCAGAATGCAAACAGTGGTTTCATAGGAGTCATGAGGAAGAAAAAAATGACAGCAGGAATACTATCCATAAAGGGAAAGGACATAAAATATTTTGGCATTTTCTTTGGTGCAAAATAGTGTTTCGGTGAGGCAGGTTATGAATGTATTCACAAAGCCTTGAAGTTCTAGTGCTTTCTGGCCAGAAAGAATCTCAGCAACAATTACAATTCACTGGCTTCTCTTGGGGAGTCATGTGCTCTCTTTTTAGCCATTAGGTGTCACTTGGGTTAGCAGTCAGACTGGAGATTCATTCGGATCAGGCT